TGATGTACAGCTGCTGAAATTCCTCGAGGTTGAGGATGCCGCTGGGGCAGTCCTTCAGGAAGCCCTTGTACCAGTGCTTCAGCTCCTGCTCGCTGAACTCCGTGTTCTGAACCAGGTCCTCCAGCACCTCGGGGGCCAGCTTGCTGTTGGTCTTCCCCATGGCGGGGCCTGTGGGACAAAGGGCTCCCTGCCACTTGGTCCAGGCAAGGTCCTAGCCTCAGCAGCGGTCCCCAAGTCCCGGCATGATAGAGTTCTCTTTCTCTACCACATCCACCTCCCATGACACGCCCAACTTCCCACAGCCAGGGTCATTTCTTCCATCACACTTTCCGTCTTCTCAGGACCACCCTTCCTCAGCAGGGCTCCACCGCTCACTCGACCCTGCCCACAGGAGGGCCCATCTTCTCTGGCAGCAGGCCGCCAGCCCCTGTCCCACATTGGAGAGGGTGGTTCTTGACCCTCGTGACACTCCACTATAACGAGGTGTACTCTCCTCCTGCTACACCGGGGCATCCTACTGCCCGTCCCTCCGCTCCCCAGCAGGGACCCCCAGCTTCCGGGTCTTCAGCTCTCCTGCTCACTGACACTTCTGCATGCACAGTCTTCATCCTCCCCTCTCCTCCTCACACCTTCCAGAGCTCCCCAAGCCCTTAGACTCCTCTCTTCCATATTCACACCTTTCTGCACTCAGCCCCCACCCTCCTCCGCAGGCTCCTTTCCTGCCAGGGACCTGAAGCAGACTCCTTCTGTGTCCCCTTGTGCTGTCTTCCCACCCAAGTTCTTCTTCTAGGCCTTTCAGGGCCACCCAGGGGGAAGCTTCTCTCTCTCCTTCCTCTGTACAAACTGAAATCTCAGTCTGTAGCAATGATGACCCTAATGACATTCTGCTTTTCATTACTGACACTGACTGTGTGCTAGATCCACTGCCAGTGATGGAGATAGAGCAGACACGGGTCAACCTTCAATAACTCACAACCAGATCAAAGAGGTAGATGGTTAATTACAAAGGGCCCACGATCCATGCCAAGGAGTATGGACTTCACCTGTAGAGACAGAAGCTACTGACGACTTTAAAGGAAAGACTAGGAAGATCACATTCATTTCACAACACTGAAAAATGCTTACAATATTCCAGGTCCTGAACTAGGCACTGGGAATCCAGAAAGAAGGTTGAGTTTTAGAATTTTTCCTTTGGTCAGTGTGAAAGATGACTGGGTGGGGGCAGATAGGTAAAGCAAGGAGGGGCCTGCTACACAGTTCAGGTGTGAGATGATGACGCTAAGGTTGGGGTTGTGGAGAGATGTGCATAGACCAAAAGATGTTCGGAGTGGGAATTGGCAGGACTTGGTGACTAACTAGATGGGGGGGTGAGAGGACAGAGGCTCAGTGCGGGGGCTTAATGGATAGAAGTGTTGCTCTGAAGCAGGTTTAAGGAAGATCAAGAGTCATTCCCTGGCTGGAACATGAGCCCCTCAAATAGCCCGTGCCAGAAGTGTCTGCAGAGGAAGGTATAGCCTCTCCCCAGGAAGCCTGGTCAGGCTTGAAGGCTGGCTAGACACTCTTGTTTGACCTCCATGTGAGAAATGTTCCTCCAGAGCTGGTTTCCCAGGACGAGGCCTGGGAAGTGCCTTTGACCTGCCTAGAGTCTCTTCGGAAGAGGTCTAGGTTCTCACCCAGAGTAGCTTGTCCTCAAGATACTCTGGGAAAGGAAGCCCTTGGACTGGGAGAAGGAGTTCCGCTTCCACAGCTCACCACCTGCCAGTGTGGCCTCTGATCCTTACTGTTGGGAACACCCTCAGCCTGTTCCATACCCCCACCTTTGCTGGGCAACCTCAAGCTAGTTAGTTAACAGGTTATCTCTGGGCTTCAGAATCCTCTGCAGAGGTCCTCAAACTTTTTAAACAGGGGGCCAGTTCACTGTCCCTCGGACCGTTGGAGGCCCAGACTGTGGGCCCCAGGACAAGTCGGCGGTGGCACAAACACCCAGCGGGCCGGATAAATGTCCTCGGCAGGCTGCATGTGGCCCACAGGCCATAGTTTGAGGATATCTGCTCTACTGGGTCATGAGGAAGTTGAAGGAACAGTGTAAGCAACTGCCTTCCCCACCTACCACCCAGACAGGATGCAGAATCTTATGTTCTCAGGAGAATCCAGGGAGGGGAAGTATGCCTTCTTCAGGAACCTGGGGCTGCCGAGTACAAAACAGCACACTGGGGCCAGAGGCAAGGACACATCTGGAATATCTGTGGACAGAAGGAAGAAGGCTCCATGGCTCTCCCAAATCCAAAGGATTCTGAAGGCTTAGAGTATAGACAAAGAAGGTGGAGAAGCCAGAGACAGAGGTGTCTGATGCGAGGCAGAGCCTCTCCCTGCCATATTCCTGCAGGATGTGCCTGAGTATCTGCGTGAGGGGCTGGGTCTATGTGTGGGAGCATGTCAATGCATGAAGCTGCAAATCTGTCAGCGAGCACACATCTCTCCGTGTGTGTCATGGTGCGTGTGTGGCTCTGACCTTCTACTCCTTTCCCCCTCCCTGCCCCGTGCTGCCTTCTCCACGATTCTTTGACTCCTAGGGACTTGAGGACTAGGCCTCCATTTTTCCTCATCTTCTCTACTGCTCTTAGAGGTCAATGCTGGCAATGCCCCTTATGATCATCCCCTAATTTTTAGTGCAAACTGAAATTGAGAGAGATTGGAGAAAACTGGCTCAGGGTTACACAGCAGGTCAGCAGAAGGGTCCAGATGAGCATACACTGAATCCATGCCACCTGCCCAGACCACCCTCTTCAAATCATGGCTACCTTATCCATCCCCACCTGCCTCTGGGAAAATCAGAGCACTAATCTCCTTTTAACCTCAGTGAGACCATCTGGTCTAGGCTCGCTGATACCCAGGTTATCTTATCTTAGGGGCACCCACCAGTACCTCTGGGTAGGCAAGTCTACAGCCAGACTCACCCCAACTAGAGATGATCATACTCTCTCACTTCTCTCCTCTTCCTTCTCTCCCTTGTCCCCTGGAGAGGACAACACAATCTTAGTTACCTTCAGTCTTTCCCATTCTCTCTTACTTTAAAGTCTAATTTGCCATTATGTCCTGTCATTTCTCACTTTGAAGTGATCCTGACACCTTCACTATGTTTGTAGCCAGGGCACAGCTGAGGGGCCTGCAGTCCATCTAGAGCCCTGCTTGCTCAGCCATGCCCATGCTCACAGGGCCCTCCTGCCTCACAGGAAGTGCCTATCTTCTAATTCCTCTCTTCCAAGGTAATGGTTTTCTTTTTTTTGCCCACAGGTACAGTATAGAGTAGAGGCGGCCATGGCCTGAAACTCTGGAATCCCCTAGAGTCTAGTTTTAATGTGCCCACCTGTCTACTCTCACCTCCTATTGCCCCCTTGCAACCAGAGCTAACCTCACCTATCTGCTTAGCTATTTTCCTCTCCACCAACTTCTTCTCTTCTCTTCTGGGCTGACACAGCTATAATCAGCCTCTGGGGCCTAGCTGGAGCCCGCTTCCTTAGTATTAGCCTTTCCCAACCTAGACAGCACACAGGCTCAGCACTGGACATGAGTAGACCTGGGAGGCTGTAGACCATGGAGACTTCAGAGCTCTCTGACCCTCACCTCATGCTGTACAATTCCAGGATGCAGCCTGATTTGGGAGAGGCCTTTGTATTAAAGACTGAGCCAGAAAAAGTTCTCCAGGTCCTTTTGCTAAATGACAAGGAGCTTATCCCCTCCCAATATGACCCAGTGAACTTTTGAGCAGCCCAGACAGTAAATAAAGTGCTTTCCCCATTTTTCTTGAGTTTGCCCTCTTGTGATCCCCCCCACTTACGTGATTCCTGCTCTGCCCTCTGTCCCTACATAGAACTGCCCTGCAGAAACCTAATGGGAGTGCCTAGAAACAGTGCTGTTTGATAAATGTCTCTTGGTGAATTATATGAGAGGAGCAGAAGCCCCTTCTTCCTCTTTGGAACTATGTTGTCAGGCTGTTTTGTTTATCTGTGTTCTTCTGCTATCACACCCACTTCAGAGACAACGGAACCCAGACCCAGGGAAAGGAAGAGTTCACCCAAGGTCAACTACAGCCCATCAGTAAAACAAAGGCCAGAACCCAGCTGGGGGCATGTTCTTCTGGCGCTGTGGCCCTGTTGAACACAGGAAGGCTCCTCTGCTTACTTCTCAAGGGCTGTGAAGGAGCTGGCACTGCCCCATACACAAAACCACTGCCCCTCTGTATTCAGCGGCTTCTTCCAGAGGGCTCTGGTTTGTGGACTTTGAATGGAGAGGTGGCGGCAGGGGCGGGAGGGACTGACGGAGGCAATAATCCCACACCCTCACCCAGCTTCAGAGGAGCTGGTGCTGAGGCGGTTGCCATGGTGACAACAGCTCCCTGTCCAGGAGATTTTCTCTCTTTCCTCTCCTCCCTTTGCTTCCTCAAGCAGCAGCAGTAGCAGCAGCAGCCAGGTCTTCTCCCTCCCCTTAACAAGAGGCAGGGGACAACAAACAAAGGGTGGGCCCTGTCAGCTGCCTCCCATTTGGAGCTGTTCCTGTCAGGATGGGCCATGATCTAAGAGGGACTCCTAATAGAAGGGACCTGGAGACCATGTGGGAGGGGGTGGCCTACAACTAGGCTTGAGTAAGAAACAATGTCCCTTCAGCAAGAAATGAAAGCCCCCAGGCATCCTCTTAGAAATGTCCTTGTGGTTCAGGGTCCTGTTTTCCCATAATCATCCACAGAACCAGAGTGTGTCAGTGTTGGAAGGCTGTTCACATCATCTCATCCAGTCCACCCTCTCTCCTGCCCCATCCTCTTTTCATGAAGGATCAGAGACAGAAGTGTCTTGGCCAAAGTCAAACCATAACTGAGGCAAAGGCAAGATTTGAACCCAGCTCCTCTGCCCTCCAGGTGCAGGCCACTTAGGGGAGGAAACAACAAAGCCCGCATTGGGAGGGTCCCTGCAGAGGAAGCAGGAAGACGGAAAAGAAGAACAACTAGCCATAAGAAGGCCAGAGTGCATCGAAACTAGAAAGAAATTGGAGTGGGAGGATGAGAGGGGTAGGTGGCTTTGGCTATGAGGGGTGGGGTGTGGAGACTGGGGCCTTGGCATGGCTGACAGGGTACTATGGTCTGCTGGGGGAGCTGGCCCTGGTTATCCTCCAGTCAGCAGGAGAGGCCAAATCTGGGCCCCTCTGCCAGGCCCTGGGGATTATGGGGAGGGCGGTTGTCATGAAAGTGTCTGTGAGGAGGAAAACTCAGAGGGGGATTCCCTCCTTCAGGAATGCTGTGATCTCTGTCAGCTTTAGGGATGGGAAACGGGTACAACGCAGGGAACAGTGTGAGGAGGAAGTGAGCTCTCTGTGGAGGCAAAGGTTGTCTTTGGGGGCTTGTGGTGTGAAGTATTTGAGCTGCTGGTGGGTCTGGGTGGTGCGGGTGTGGGCTATCTATGCAGGTGGGAGGTTGCCATGGCGCTGGAGACTCCCTATCTCCAAAGGAAACAGGAGGAAGGGTGATTGGTGCTTCCTCTAGCACCAGCGACACCACACCCCCAGGTGTGCATGTGTTGGGGACCAGAGCCACGGTGGTTCTTACCTGAGCTGGGGGTAAGGAGGCAGTTCTGTCTCTTTCCCTGACCCCGTGGGGCCTAGACTGAAACGGTGGTCCCCTGTCCAGATGGTCCCCTGTCCAGGCCCTCCAGATGCTGCCGCCTATGGCGGAGCCAGGGGTCAGGGAGACAGTAAGAGTGCAGGAGATAAGAAGGGGAATGGAGAGTGGAGGGGGAGGGGACCAGGGCCTCCGCCCGGCGGGGTTAGCTTGAGAACCCGGTCCCACCCGCGTTACCTGAGGCCACTCGCCGGATCGCTGGATGGCTCTGAGCCTCGGCGGGCCGCGGGGATCGAGGCTGGCTCGCGGGCTGGGCTCTCCAAGGTCCACGCCGGAGCCGCCTCCCAGCTCTGTATCACTATGTGCCTCTCGAAGGCGACACGATTTGCATAAGCCCCGCCCCATCCCAAGAAGATTGGATGTCTATTGGCTTTTCTGGAGCGGAGTGGCAGGCGGGGTTTCAGGTGGGGATGGGGAGGCTAGAGAGACCCGGCTACAGGAGCGCGCCCCGGCCGCCGGCGCTGACCTTCCCGAAGTCACCAGGAAGAAGGAGGGCTGTACTCCCATCTGTAACCCCTACCCTGAGGCTCAGGCACTGGCTCCTGGTCTGGGGTGAAAAGTGTGGACGTTTGAAGTGGATTCGCAAAAACAACCACAACGTTGCTATAGAAACGGAAGAATCACTGCCGAATCTCTAAGCTTTCCCTTCCTGGGCCCCAGCGGGGGCGGGGGGTGAAAGAGATGAGTCACAAGATGAGACCCCCATATCCCACCCGAAATTGCAGGGGGGCAGGAGGAGCTGCCGAGTAGTTGGGTAGAGGAGGGAGGAGATGGGGTGGTCATCAGTCCACGCCCTCGCGCCCCTTCCACACCCACTCCCCTCACGCTAAGAGCAGAACGGAGGGAGGTGGGTGTGCGCAGAGAGAGCGGTATGGATGGCGAAGTGTGCAATTTCTGCCTAGCCCCGCGCTAGTCGTGGGTTCACTCCAGCCACCCCTCCAGCCTTCATTCCAGTCCCTCGGTAGATAAAGCCCTCCTTATTTCTCACAGACCCCCAGAAGAATCCCTCTGCCTACCCCGTGGATCTGTCCGTTCCCCACCCTCCCATCTTCCAGTCCCATAGACAGAGTTGGTTCCCAGCCGCCGCCAGGCTCCAGCCTCGGATGTTGACACAAACCCGAGGCGGTTTACACTGAGTGGGTCTGGAAGGTTTCAGGGCCTCGGGAACACCTCCTTCCCGCACTTGGGGGGTCTCCCCAAAGCCCGGCCTGGCCGCCCGGGATGCACTGACGTCCGAGAGCGCCCGCCCCAAGTCGGTGGAGAGGAACCCTTTTAAGCCAAACTGGCAACTAGCGGGGGTAAGCGGGATCTTGGGACGCGCCACGTGCCTAGGAGGAACTTCCAAGGATCTGTCAAACGCGGAGGCGGGGCGTCTGGGGATTGGTTAAATGGGAGCACGGGTGCGGCAGAGCCGCGGGGAGGAGGTGGGGCTTCTGTCAGAGAGGCAGGAGTGGAGGTGGGCGGAGGAGGCGAGGCCTCTGGGACTGGTCCCAAAAATGCCCCAGCGGGTTTGCTGGAGAGGAACCAGTGGGCATTGCATTCACCCCTTGAAACGGTTTTGCTCTCCCATTCTCCTAGCTGCTGGCTATGTCTGGGGCCTTAGCAGGGGCATAGGGTTTCCATGGTACCTACAGCTCTAGGTAGGAGCCACATCCCTGGCACCATCGTTGGTGACTCACAAGGGACGGATGTTTGAAATCCCTAAATCTTTCCCTTTCCAGGCATCCATTCTGCTGTGGCATGAGGAAGTGGAAGAGAAGCGACATAGGTTGCTGGAAATGGCATCTGAAGCCCTCAAATGGAGTCCCTTTTTGCCAATGATTCCACATATGATGGTGGGCAAGACCTTTCTTACTCGGGGCTTCCTAATCTCTAAAATGTGGGAGCTGGTAGGGAGGCCTGGAGGAGCAGGGGAAGAAGTTCAACTAGGAAGATGAAGACTGTCATCTTGGACACGATTATGTGGGCATCAATGTAACCGCTCCTCTTAGAGCTGTGAGCCTCTTCACAATAGCCAACACACGTGGAGACCTTGCTTTGGGCTCTGGGACTTTATATGTATTACCTAAAGTATTCCTCATAAGAACTCTCTGAGGCAGGGACTTTTATTGCTCCCACTTAACGGGTGAGAAAAATCAAGGCACAAAGCAGCTAAGTGATTGGCCCAAGTTCATGTGGGTGCTAAAGAGAGTTACAAAGCTGGGATTTGAACAACAGTCTAGCTCCAGATCCCACACTCTGACCAGTGCATAATACTCCCTCTCCTGATGATCCTTGGATTGGAATATTTGCTTTGGATTCCCCAAGGCATTAGAAAGGCAAAGTCCAGTCTTCTGGGAGCAGCCTCTCTGTTTCAGGTGACCAAGACACAGGATTCCAGCAGTACAATACAGCTGGAAGTAGTGAAAACCAGACAGTGGTCCCTCCTGAACTGCCAAGGGAACCAGTGCCTGCTTCTTCTGAACATCCCTCCCCCAGGCAGGACCACCCATGCATCCTGATCCATGAATCTTCTTGGGGCCCTAAACTGACAGTCATAACCCATCATAATATTCAACTCTGAGACCCTGATCTTGATCCTGCCTCTGTCCCCTTTGGTCTGATGTTTAAAGTAATAACAGCTGATGTTGACTGAGTTGCTTCACTATGTGCCAGACTCTCTGCCAAGTTCTTTGTCTGCATCTTCTCACTTAATCCTAAGGATGACCACTGTCAGGGACAATAGTAAAAATATTCAACCCATTCAGACATGAGCTTTACCAATCAGGACGGATACTGACCTTAGTGCTAGATCAAGGTCTTAGTAACTCTCTGTTCTAGAATGAGTTGACACTTAAGTTATTGGCTTAGTGGGGCAGGTAGCTGAGGGTGGGGGATGCCTAGGGTGGTGGGAAGTTGAAGGTTACGGCTAACTATTTGTTATTCAATTTGGATGTAGTGTGATGTTTTTTCAGTTGTGGCAGTACGTAGGAACTGATTTCAGCCCCTATATCATTACTTTATTTCATGGTAGAGGATGGAGGCTCAGAGAGGTTGGACAATTTGGCCATTGTAACACAGCTCATTAGCCACAGTGCCAAGATTCCAAAGCTTGCAGTCTTACACACTGGCTGAACTGTGTTCGTAGGAAAGGGTAGCATTTGAAACTGAGTTGGGGTTTCCACTATTATGCAACTGAAGTTTGAGCCAGAGAAATGTGGCTTAAGTTTTGGAGCTTTGTCACCCCCAAACAGCCTTACTGTTCTCGGACTTGGAACCTTGGTAAACACCTGTTTCATGTCGTTGAAGGAGCAGCCTTGCAGAATGAGGAGAGCAGGGCAAACTGCTGGAATAAGGGCGGGGGATATCAAAAGGGGGCATATAGGGAACTGAGCCCCACAGGGTTTCATTGAGGGCGGAGGTCCGTAGGCAGGAGCCCCTTCAGTTTGCATCACCTAAGGGCTAGCATTCCTCTCCTCTTTGGTCTTCAACAGTGTCTTCATGATGGAGAATGCCTTCCTGATTCCCTGGGTTTTCTCTGCTTTGGCTCATGCAGCCTGGTGACAGCTGGAATTCCCCTAGGTCCTAGACAGTTCATGGTCTCCTTGGTGGCTGAGAGAGAGTGAGATCACTAGAGTTGGGTTTCTTCCCTTTCCCAATTGCCTAAGCAGGACATTTTTTTTAAACTTCTGACACAGAAATCTCTCTTTCTTTATTGTTTGTTAAAACACAGTAGCTAAAAAATTGATACAGAATGATAGAGAATAGAAAGGATAACTGCAGGGGACTTTATGTCCTTGCCTGTCCTGCATCTCTTCCCTGGTCTTCTCCTGGAGAAGCCATATGTACAGTGGGTTAAGTGCACCAACTTAAGCCAGGCTGCCTGGGTTTACATCCCAGCTCTATCACTTACCAGCTGTGTAATCATAAGCAAGCTACTTTACCTCTCTGTGTAAAGTAGCTCTCAGTTTCCTCATCTGTAAAATAGGGCTAATTATAACAGTACCTATTTTACAGGGCTACTTTGAGGATTAATATGAGTTAATACAGGAAAAGTGTTTAGAACAGATTTTACATTGGAGAATTGCCGTGTATTGTAATAGTTCCCTATTGTATACAGTCGTGGTGGGAACTATCAATCCAGGCGACTTCCCTTTGGACAAGGGTTGGACAAATGATTGAGGTAAGTCTAAGTAGTCGCTCTTTCTTTTTTCTCTCTTGCCCCCATCCCTACCAAGTAAGTCTGAATCTAGAGGAAAGGGACTCAGGAGTGTAGATGGTTAGCACTGGTTTATTTCAGAAAAATGCCCTAATGACACTATCCATTCATTCCTGCTATCTGAGTCGCCAGGAACCACTCTGGTACATGTCCTTTCCAAAAACTGATTTTCCTTCTCTTCCTTTGGTTCTGTAAGCCAATCCACCCATCCCTCTAAAAAATTTCTTTTTTAAAACTTAGGTTGCCTAGAGGAGATTTCTGTGTGCTTGCAAAGAACATGTATGAATTTGATGTATTTATCAGTTGTGAATCTTGATTGCAAGGATGGGAAGTCCAGCCCACAATAGGTTAGGCAAAAAGAAAATGTAGTGGCTTAAACAACATGATTAATATCTAACCTCTTTCCAGGGCTCAGCTTAGCTCTCCTGTGTTGGCTTCCTTCTTGGTATCCACATAAACATAGCTGTCAACATCTTTAGGCCAACATACTCTTAAGTTGGGGTTCCACAGAAAAGAAGAGGGCCTCTCTTTCCCAGTGCAACCTGAGTCTTAGAATCAGTCACTGAAAATGGGGGTGGGGGTGGGGGAGAGGGATGTAGTGCTCTGATTGGCCAGGGCTGAGTCTGGAAGTCAGTTCAACTCCCCCCAAAGGATGTGCACCCTTGGTAGGAAAGCAGATTATTCCTACCAAGAAAAGGGTGAATAAAGACCAAATAGCAAAACAACAAATGTGCTGGAGTTTATAAAAACATTATACAAGCTGGACTATCAGGATACCAGCAGCAAACAGATAACACTCAAAGAGATCACTGAACATAGGTCAGTGAGGGAACTATGTACACAGATATGGGCAAAGTTGAGAGAAATCAGTAAGGGATGGGCAAGCACCCTCGAGCTAGCAACAGTGGAGAGCCAGTACAACTCTAAGCCACAGGGGCAAGAGGTGAGAACAGCGCTGTTATTATAGGAGACAGGTTTTCAGTGGCAGCTGTGGACTTGGTAAAGGAACATACCCACTGCCAACACTTGCTCCAGTAAAGAGAGACTGGGGGTGGGTAG